ATATATATATATATAATACATTATACGTACATATCGAGCAAATTTGAAACACAAAACTATTTGAAAAAAGACAAAAACTCTTTTTTTCTCTGATTCAGTTCGGCGGGGGAACGGAGAGTAGTGATAGAAAACACCTTTTTATTTCATCTCATTTATTCGTTTTATTATGATTTCTAAAACCATCAAGGATTTAAATTCAGAAATTCGGTATTTCTTTTATCAACAATGCTACTATGATGTTCAACTCAGTTCATGGAAACAATTGGGACATATATCGGCGGAAAGCATCTTGCCAAACATCTCAACACTCATCAACAACACTCAAAAATACCTCGCGATAAGCGCCTATGGTTTCACAAATAGTGTAGAAAAGCATTAAAAATGTCAATGATATAGGATGCATATGAAGCGCGAGAGCGAAATAAAAATTTCCCTCTAACATACGCGCGTTAATATTCGAAATATTCAATATGTCGAACATATGGCTTTTCTTCTTTTTTTTTAATATATATTTTTTTTTTTGTTCTTTTGTTTTTATTGTATTTCTAAGCTGCACCTATAATTCTTTTCACAATGATTATTGCCTTCCATAAAATTATGTGAAAACGCTTTCATATTAGCATCTGATTATTTTCTTCTATATATTGCATAGATATTTACAAGACGCGATATATTTTGTTTGACAAATTTTATGGCACACATGAAACTATCACAGGATATGAAAAGATATTTTTTATGAGCTTGAACAGGTTATTTAATTTACTCGTTGCCCTCTACGTTTTCGTATTGAAACACAAGTATGGCTTTAAACACTGAATTCGGCCGAAGATATGTTTAATTTTATTGCGTACTTCAAACGTTATATAAATTTTATAGTTTTATCTGTTTTTTTTTATAATAAAGACTAACTAACAATTAATTAAAGATCAATTAAGGTAGAATATCAATAAGCTTAAATAATTACCTTGTTAACCTTTCCAAAAGTTTATTTCTTTAATTTTTTTTTTTTTCAAAAGACTTATAGTACTTCTTAAATAATGAACTCATTTATATGAATTAAATAATATGTAAACATTGATCGATAAATTCAAATCAAGATTTGCTTATACATATGTACTTAATGGATTGGTGTGTGTGGGAAGTGGCTATTGAATTGAATGATGGTGTACGACAAAATGATCTGAAGCCTTAACACTTTAAAATTTAGAGTAGATTTTAAGTGTTGGACGCCCTATATTGACAAGACGATGATGACCATATTCAAATTGAGTTAATAATTGCGGTGTTTCTAAGTTTTTTTTTAATACATGAATGTACATGCGGAGGTCAAAAGAGTCTGTGGCGGTAAAAGCTAATATCTTTTAAATACAAAACAAAATATTCTACTCTAAGCTAAGAAGCGCACATAAACAAAAAGATATATGTCTATGCAATGAAAGGAAAAATTTTCGTAATAATACGTTCCTTTCCTTTTAAAAACTTCTCTATATACGCGTGATGAGCGTAGTTTCGATAACAATACGAGTTTGGGTTTTAATTAATTATTTCATAAGATGGTACCTTCGCTTAGTGAGCGGTAGCTATAATCGGATTTGTGCGAAATATGCGAACATTTAATATTTAGCTAGGCTTACTTATATTATATCTCCTCTATTTTTGAATGTGAATTATTGAGATATTTTAATGAAATTTGGTACATGGACATGTTTTGGCCCAACGACAAACGCAATTGAAAATTGTTCAGTTCGGACCCATTTTCCGACCACTTCCCATACAAAAAATTATTTTGAAAAATCGTTATATAAATAACGGAATTAAGCAAAGAGGTCTAGAGTATCTAATAGCGTTTATCTGATTTTCTTATATATATAAATTTTTTTATTTTTCCATTGAAATTTGCCTCATCTTGGTTACTTTAAAATGTGAAAAATTTTGCATTACAAGAGTGAGTGGTCAATAATTAAATAACATCCACAACGCATACATTTGGTCACGAAAATGCAAAAAATTGTAGCTTTAATCTACGATTCCCGCCTAAATAATCATCGTTTGAAATTATAGATTGATGTCAGGGGGTAATCAGTGCATCAGTGCAAATCAGTGCATCGGATCACTTTTTGACATTGTCTGTCGTCTATAAAGTAGTTATTTTTGGGATAGGACATCGCATTTGGCGAATATAATACTTGATCAGTATCATCAATCCATTTATGGGGCCCGCTGCAAACTACAAGATAAATAAATTTGAATTAATTTTGGCGCGTGCGAGTGGAATATTAAACGAAAAACCGGAAATTTATAAGACACAACTATGTGTAATTGTATTCAACTTTCAATCGAAATAGGAACGCAATCAAAAAAGAAGCCTCTTTTCATATTTTAGAACAAATTTGGGAAACAACGCAATTTTTGAAGGCGTAAAGAGTGCCCTTTAATTACCCAGAAACTGCATAAAATGTCCGTTCAAATTTTGGTAAAAATTTTTAACATATATATATATGAATAATTATTATTTAGATATTATATACAAATAATGAAAAATAC